CACGTCTCCTTTTAATTGTCTTCTCAAAGGAAAACGAGAAAAAACAAAACGTCACCTTGACCTTAGGGAAACCTTTATGAGCTACAATTTTCTTTGCATTACACAATGCAACAGCCAAATGTGTCAACCTCGTAGAATCGAAACAAACCAACTACGTCAATTATTTCACCATCAAATATGACCTTCTCTGTTTTCTAACTTATTACGTCACTAGTTTACCCTCAAGTTCTCTGTAGACTTACCAACGAGAAATAAGCACCCGTGGGACCTTTACCCAACAAGGACGAGTGTGTCCCACATTCGATGACTTTCCCTTTGTCCAAAACCGCGATCGCGTCACAGTTCTGAATCGTGCTCAGCCTATGTGCGATCACCACACTCGTCCTCCCARCCATCACGCGCTCGAGCGCGTCTTGCACCACACGCTCCGACTGGCTGTCTAAAGCGCTCGTGGCTTCATCGAGGAGCAACACCGATGGGTTCTTCAGCATCGCTCGAGCGATCGCAATCCTCTGTTTTTGTCCACCCGACAATTGCACTCCTCTGTCTCCGCAGTATGTGTCATAACCATCAGMKAGTGATGTAATGAAATCATGAGCGTTCGCTGCCTTGGCCGCCTCCATTATCTCTGCTTCGTCGATCTTCTCAGATGCTCCTCCGTACATGATGTTCTCTTTGATCGTCCCGGCGAACAACGTTGGCTCTTGGCTAACTAGACTAATGTGTTGACGAAGCGATCTCAAATGATACGACCTTATATCGCGGCCATCGATTCTCACAGTACCCTTTAACGGGTCATAAAACCGCTCGATCAAGCTCACTAATGTGGATTTACCTGAGCCACTTGGACCTACGATCGCCGTGGACTTCCCTTGGTCCATCTCAATAGAGAAGTCTTTGAATATAATCACATCTGGTCGCGTTGGGTAAGCGAAGTCCACACTGAGAAATCTGATTTGGCCCTTTATCTTTTCCGGGAAGTACCCATCCGGGTTCTCAGGCTCAATGATTGTGGAACGATCTAACACTGCAAACACAGCCCCAACCGCATCCGAGCCCTTAGCTAGATCCGTTGTCATGGTCCCAGCGTCAGCGATAACCCGACCCGTACTTACAATGATCAAAAACATCTCAAAGAATGATTTTGACGTGATTTTACCATCAACGATTAGTCTGCTACCGTACCAGTAACTCAGAACTGAAGTACACGTTATGAGGCTTCGTGACGTTCCTAGCACAATCCCTGCTAACCATGATTGGCGGACGCTTTCTCTTAGTGGACCTTCTTGAACCCTTTTGAGTAATTTCAAGATACGTTCTTGTGACGAGAAAGACGTTATGGTTCGAATGTTGGAGACAGCTTCTGCAGCTAGTTTGCTACTCTCATCTTGGGCTTTAATGGCCTTTTTCGACAAGCTCTTGAGCAGAATGCGTTGAGCGTAGAAGCACACAACAATAAGTGGCTGCACCGCAATCATCACAATGGCTAATCGCCAAGAGATGGCCAAACCAAGTGTGCAAGATACCATCACTGCTGATATAGTTTGTACCACCAATGACACTCGTTCACCAACCAGCGATCTCACCTAACATAACAAAACATTACAAGATCAACATTTGGTAAAATAATTGTTCATTAAAAAACATTACAAGATCAATAATAGGTTAAAAAAATGTGCATTGAAGTTCAAATTAGCAAGGCGGAAAACATACCAAGTTTGCTTCCTTTGCGAGTCTGGAGCAAATTGCACCACTCGAGTTCTCGTCTTCATCGAACCAATTGACTTCAAAGGTCAATATCTTCGAAAGCATATTTTCTCGGATACGCTTTGTTAGGTATTCTCCCATGTAAGCAAAACTATAATGCTGAATGATGTTGATTAAGAAAGTGAACAGAGCTAGACCAACAAAAAACAACACATAGATCCTTGTTTTCTCCCTGATCTCATCATGACTCGTCAGGAAATACACCGACACCATTACCCCCGAACAAAATGCGTAAATTGGCTGTACGGCCCCATATAAGGCTGCACATAAGCAACCATACAATGCATGTTTCCACTCTGGTCTATTCATCGCCATTAATCTCTTAAATGATGGCACAGGTGGCTTCTTATCCTTAGGCATCGAACCAGAAAGATTCGTATCAATGCTTGAAGTCGTGAACAAGTTAGACCGGCTTTGAATAGAGAGTATTGGACTATACTTCAAATCTTTGCTCAAAATCGAAAGTTGACCCTCTTGCATTTTAACATTTGATCCTTCATTCTCCATATGTTGTAAGCGTACTAAAGAGGTATATTGACCATCTAAGTTCTCCATGAGCTCTTCATGTGATCCACTTTCTACAATGCGACCATTATGAACTACGCAGATAACACTGGCATTACGAATAGTAGAGAGGCGGTGGGCAATAACAATAGTTGTTCGGCCAGCAGAAGCATTGTCTAAGGCTTCTTGGACTACCATTTCAGATTCTGAGTCCAATGCGCTTGTTGCCTCGTCTAGAAGAAGAATTGTTGGCGATTTTATTATTGCACGCGCGATTGCAATCCTCTGTTTTTGTCCTCCTGACATTTGTACTCCTCTCTCCCCAACCTAATTATTTACACAAAAACTAAATCAACCTCAGATAAGACTATGAAATCAGTGTGTGATTTAAAATAGGAATGTAACCTGAGTTTCGTAGCCATTAGGTAACTGAGAAATGAAATTATGAGCATTAGAGGCCTTGGCAGCTTCTACAACATCTTCCATGGATGCATTTTCTTTACCAAACAATATGTTCGCCTTTATGGATGTGGCGAAAAGAGCAGGCTCTTGGCTAACTAGACCCATTTGTGATCTCAACCATTTCACTTGCAGCTTATCAATGGATACACCATCGATGAGAATATTCCCTGCAACCGGGTCATAAAACCTTTGCAAAAGCGAAATCACGGTTGATTTTCCTGACCCGCTTCCTCCCACCAAAGCCACGGTTTTCCCGGATGGAACTCTCAGACAAAAATCGTCAAAGATTGATGTTTCTGGTCTCGATGGATACACAAACTTAACGTTCTTAAACTCGACTTCTCCTCTAATTTTCTCTAGAACTAGCCCTTCCACGTTGTTCGAGTCAATATCTGGAACTCTTTTTATCACTTTGGTAATCCTTTTGCCAGCTACAACCGCCTCCGAGAGATATTTGAGATTCGACAAACCTCGACCAAGTGTTCTGAAAATGTAAGATACCAAAGATTAAAACTACAATAAGGTTTTTTTTTGTATAAAAAAAAACCAAAGAGTCTTCAACATACTCCCTCCGTTTATCTATATAGGATGTTTTGGCTAAAAGCACGAAAATTAAGAACAAAAAATTTCTTCCAAAAAGTATATATTTATATATATAAACTAAAAACAACTCCAAGATACTATTGATCACATAATATTCAATAAAAATAAAAACTACATAGAAATATGAGAACATTTATATTATGAAACAAGAAAACCCTCCAAAACATCCTATATAGATAAACAGAGGAAGTATATACTTACGTGCCACCATAACTCATGCATACTGTGACTGCGAAGATGGTACCGCCTTTGGCATCATGGTACATAACCATCCGGCTTCCATACCAAGTCATGAATCCCCAAATGGCGAAAGTGATACCATTACTCCCAATGGCAATTCCTTTAACTAGTCCCTGTCTCAACCCTAGCTTCACCGACCCTTCAAGTGCAGCTGAAAATTTTGATATCATCTTCCTCTCACTACCAAACGCGTAGACGGTTCGCACCAATGAGATGGCCTGCTCGGCTATAGAACCAGCCTCATTGTACTCGTCGCGTATTTTCATCGAAATGCTGATGAGGGTTCGTCCGTACATTAGTCCAGGAATCACGAGGAGGACGATGAACGGGAAGCCTATGATTGTGAGTCTCCACAGCATGATGAAAGACACTATGTAGCTTCCAAAAAACGCAGATGCATTCATCAAAAGGTTTGGTAACTGCTTGAAATCAATGTCATAAAAAAAATCTGATTTAGAAAACAAGAAACATGATTCGAACCGAAAGGTAAAGATAGAAAGTTGAGACCTTTTCACTGAGGACGTCTTGGATCACGAGGCTATCACTAGAAACACTTGTGATAACATCAGAAGTGCTTGTGACATGAAGATCAAAGTAGCCCACATCTTGTCTTAATACCGCTCTTAAGTACTTTTCTCTCATTCTTGCTGTTTGTCTCTCCCCTGTTCTTGTCCAACAATATCCTTCTGTTTTTTTTTTAATATTAAAACCCATCCACAAAATTAATTCCCAAATTTAATTGTAATTTTGATGTTTTTTTCTAGAAAAAAAATGGAAGAAATATGGTCTTAAAGACTTACCAAGGAAACATATTACCCAAGATGCACAAGCCACATAGAGCATAGCTACAGCATTCTGTTAATTATCCAATGTGTAAAGAAAGAAGATATGTTAGAGCATGTACAATGGCAGTTTTTAGTATATGTTCTTAGTATATTTTTGATTAAATATAATTGATAAATGGTAAGAAGAACTAAAAACTGATCTTAAGATCATTTCTTGAGTGTTTTTCCGAGACAGCTGTCAGCCGCACATTTAAAGCATAAAAAAAAAAATTAAAACATATCTTGAAGAAAACGCGTGAAAACACAAAAAAATATT